CTTAACAGCAACCCAGTTGGGGTTTCCAGTAAGGAGCTCAGAAGGACCTAAGCTGGAAGCTCCAGCGCTTTGACAGTCGCGCCAGCTTTGCCGGATGATGGCTTTCTTAGCTGACACATCCCAGTCAACTGGGTTGCTGTTAAGGNNTAATGGGTATATGTAGTAATTAACATGGTTTCCCCAATATAGTAACTTAATTTAAGTTCCTTAACAGCAACCCAGCCACTTGCGGTATGCAGCTTTGACCCAGAACTTGGCGACAGCCTGCATCTTCGCTTCCTAAAGCTGGTACTGTAGGAGTTAAAACTACCACATTGCTATTGGAGCTGAAATCGGGACTGCTACAGGCAGCCATTCCTGCATCCCCTACCAATTAAATTTATTTCTGATTCCCAACCAGCAAGAAACCCTTAACCGGTCTTCAAGATACAGCTAGATATCAAGCAGCAGCACAGGATGTCAGTTATGCAAACCCCACCCCCAACTCCAAACTCCTAAACTTTTCACCTAATTGGAGGGTCAGGGGGACGTAATAAGCCAGTTAATAATGGGGATCACTGGCGTTATAGCATGAGCCATAGTCTAAACTCCTAGCATCCCCCTGAATATCCCCTAGAGTAGTTCCCTATACAACCCCCTATATAACCCTTTTTAAGGAGTTTAGATCATAGCTCATGTGGCTCATAGGGGCGATTAACCTACTTACAACCAAGTAGGCTCTGAACACTAGGCCCTAAAACCTTCAAACGCCTGCACTCGAACCTTGAACCCTAAGCCCCAAACGAAAAATCCTCTAGCTGAACTCCAAAAGTAGGTAAAACGATGGCTCAGAACCCTTACTTACTATTGCGCAGGTAAGCCCACTCCACAAAGCAGGAGCTGAGGCCGCACGAGTTTTCGACGTCAACTTCGTACAGCAGCTGGCAATCAAGTGGAATGACAGCTTGAGTTGGCGTTTAGGGAGTTGAGGGACTTCAAGGTGTCAAGAGTTTCGGGCTTTGGGGAGGTTAGGATTAATCATAATGTTTAGGGTTTATAGGGTCTAGCAGCCATCATAGGGATGATATGCGCGCCCTTAAAGTGCGTACGCTAGCAGCTTGTATTCTGGGGTTCAGATCAAAATGTTCCCAGAAGGAAGGGACCTTTTGAAAGCTCCGGACTCCGTACCACAGTGCTTTCGCTTCCTAATATTTGCAAACAATCACAGTAGGATTGCTATTAAACATCCTGGTGACCCTCTGTACCTAACCCTAAACCCATATAACCTAAGCCTGTATCAGCAATAGGCAAAAAGGCCTTAAAGAGACAATCTGCATGACAGCTCGGACCAAACAAGGCCTTGTCGTTGATCACTAAGCCGCCTTTCTCTTCCACCAAGCCAGTCCTTGAAGTTCGGTTTAGGGTTTAGGGCCTATAAGTTTTAAGGTTTAGGGTCCAGGAGGCCGTGGAGCGTCGACTTGGAAGGTAAGGGGGACTTGGTAAGTAGCTAGAAGCCTTATAAGAAGCCTAGCGGTCCTCACATTAACCTACTTACTAAGCCTCCGTTCCAAGCATGGTTTGGGTTTTTGGATGCTATGCAGACCAATGTTGAGTGTTGTTTCAGTTTTCTACCGGCGGAATTGCAATCTACTACTGAGCCAAACTTCATAAGAGCCTTTGGGTAAAGAAAAGTTAAGGCTTGAGCAGCTTTGGGACAGACCATTTCGCTAAAGGTTGGCTATCGCACCCGCCGTTCAGGCCTCACCTAGAATTATGGGATGCCGTGTTGAGAGTAGCAGCGCGCAGCGCATAGGCATCCAAAACTGGTCCAATTCAAAACCACGGATCCATGCAGGTATCATTTATAGACTTCTGGGCCCAGTATAGGTCATATGTATAGACTTAAGCCCCAGGGAACAGGGAAACACTAGTCGATGAGTTCCCTTCATCTGTCGCCAGTTGCCGCACGGTAGCTCTGGTTGTAAGCTAACAGTGAGAAACATCAGCTGCTGTTCTTATTAAGAACCCTAAACCCATAAACCCTATAACCCGGTTAAACACGTTAAATGCTAATGAACCCTATCAAGCCCCATATAACCTATGCTGCCCTTCTTCTGCAGTGGAAGGACAGTTTGGACACCGAGCCCAGTTGCAATACCATGGCTGTATGCATGTTCATGGGTTTAGGGTTTAGGGTTTAGAGGGTTTAGGGTTTTGGGTTTCAGGAAATCTTTCACCAATTGGGATGCTGAAGACCTTGTACTTCCCAAGGTTGGAGAAGGCGAATTAATCTAGACATGTCATCATGTCAGTTAAAAATGTGTATACATATATATATATATTTATATGTAGACATACATATCAATGTCTATAGTCTTTGTATAGGCTTGCACCCTCTCTATTCGTCTGTGCTTGGCAGGAATCCTACAGAAGTAGAATTGTGACATGGAGTTTTGCCGATTGGCTTGCGCACGGGGTCGCCGTACAGCACAGTCTTCTGCTCTTTTCAGCGTGCCCTTTCAATATCCCAAAGAGCTAGATTCCTTAGTATGGAGAGCCCCAGAGAGGACCCCTTGCTTTTGGACACCCATTTGTAGGCTTGCACCGGGCCAGCCCACAAGTTCTAAGCGGCTTCAAGACCTTGAAATCTGAACCTGATTCCGAGGTTTCCGGTCCATAGGGGCCCCCCTTCTATGTCCATAGACACCACAATCCATTACACATATATATATATATATATGTGTGTATATATATATGTATATATACACGTACATGTAAACAGTTATCTATTCATACTCTCTGTACATATATATATATATACATTTATATTACTTGTGGGGCTCCTAACCAACCACTCACTGCCTCAAACAAGCTGAGCTTGCTACTTGAGGATGCCATTGCGGCAGTCGAAGATGACGTCCTGTCGCACAAGCAGTCAGAGATGGCTGGCTTCTCTCTTGACGAACTTCCTCTGAGGGTTTAGGGTAAGAAGTGGGGATTTGCAATAATTAGGCCTTTTGGGCGTCCCCGTAATAAGGATCATAATGCGTGTGGTCTATATTCGGGTCCCCCGGTTTATGGAAACTGCTAAATGAGCTATGGTCGGTTTAAAACTCCTAGTATCGCCCATAATATCCACTATAGAACCCCCCATATAATCCTATATAAGCCCCCCGCCCTTGGAGGAGTTTAGACCCTACCCCCTAAACCCCAAACCCTAACTATATAACCCCTTTATATAATCCCCTTTAAGGAGTTAATGGGTCTTAGGGATTAGGGTTGAGAGAGCTAAATGTAAATTCCTGATTAATGAACCCCTCCCCTTAATGGAGATTATAATAGGGATCCTGATATTCAGGCCCTTAAAAGGAGAAGGGTTATTAATCATGGGTCTACGCTAGCCATTAAGTCAATCCCCCTTACAGTAACAATTACAACAATGGGTAATAGGAGTTAGATAAGCCCCCTGATAGGAACCCAATATGGACAGTTACTGGGAGGAGGAATGATCCAGTTCATCCCATAACGAATCTGACTTCCTCCCTCATAAAAAAGCTCAAGATACGTAGTAGGATTGTATGACGTTGAAATATTGGCTACTAGAGAGGTTTATACTCTGAGGATAGAAATTCATGGAGGATGCCTACACAAGGACCCCCGGCAACACTGCATTCGCAACCTGTTTCTTGACGTCATCAGCGATCGGGATGTAGATAATCACAGCCTGTCCATACTTTTGGCTTGCGAGGGTTTATGACCTATGTGAGCTAGGGATTCATCCTGGGTTGTGGGTGAATGTATATGGTAGGTTGCGAAAATTATGGTCCCTTGTTTGGGTCCCAATATACTACGGCTCCTATATCTAGGGTACTCATAGAGCTGTTCGAGGTTTCGGGTTTAGGGTTCAGGGGTGTGGCTTCTTCTCCCAAAACTGTATACCCCAGGGCTCCCAGTTACCGAAATGATATGATACTGGGCTAGAACCCGGAACCCATTGCTTAGGTATGTGGAGCCCTAGGGTATAGCTTTCTCATCAAAAAATGCATGGCCCCAGAATTCCGCTTACCTTTGCTTCTTGCAAACGATTAGTCTGCGCTGCAGCTCTGTAGGCCCCAACACACAAAGTCTTTGGACTTGTGTTCATATGTACACCAATGCCAGCACTGGTGCCTCCGTGCACTTCGAGAGAGTCCAGTAGTAACCTGCGCGTCCGCGGGGGAAACCACTGCAGCTGAAGCAATCCACCGAGTCTGCTGGAATAGCTCTGAATGTTTGGTCTAACATGTTGAACTTTGGATCACTTTGCGCTTCACTTCATGATGGAAGCTATTTATGACACGTCTTCGCCGGTTTGGGGTTTCGTGGAGATGGAGGTTGCCGGACAAATTGACCTCTGACCTTATGACCCAAGAAGCCCCAGGTGTCGGGAGCCCGCTTTCAAACAGGCCCAAGTCCCAAAGGGTCCATGTAGCTACTAGTATATACCTTGGCCCCAAAGTAAATATGGAAACCCCTCTGGGCCCCAAGTATATACCAGGTACTTATCATATGAACTCTGTGTGACTCTGTGGAACAGGGTTCCGGTCGAACCAATGCCCGGGTTTGGGAAGGGTTCGGGCTCCAATCCCATCAGACTCCACAGTTTGCATTGTGCAGACCCGAAACCCTTTACCCTTGAACCCTTGACGTACTGGGGGTTTGTCGGGAATACAAGAAACACATATATATATATAATTCCTTACTGAGAACCAGTAAGTTAATCGGATTACTTAGTTTGGCACCTAAACCCACAACCCTAAGGCGGCATCTGAAAGCCGAAGTGAATTCATCCCAGCTGCTTCAGAGCCGGCAATGCCCACCCAGTCTGAGTCCCAATCCAAATCCACACTGAGCCCGAGTTTAGGGTTTTTAAAACCCTAAACCCTAAACCTTTAGGGTTTGAGGCCAATTCCAGATCCCAGGCTCAGTCCCGGATTGTCGAGAAATTTAAGCTGCAATCTTAGCAGGACCTAGCTATGGCAGCACCCTGCCGTAGTGCACCACCCTAGAACAAGCCCCACGTAAAAAGGTGAACAGCAATACCCCAGAACCCAACAACCGCCAGGCAGCCCTGAAAGGAAACCTGCAAAAAAACACAACCACTGCACAAGTCTCCAAGCGAGCTGCCTGTACTGTGGATGGGATAGCCTCAGTCTGCACGGGTGAGCCAGATGTTTTGCGCCGCATACTGGAAGGACACCGACCCTAACGATTCACAAATTCAGTAAGATGAAGGGAAGCTAGTGGATTCCAGATGTCATACACGCACTGCACAAAGCAGCTCTTGAGGACTCGGAGTACAAGTGTCACAGAGTTCAGTTTGAGCCACGACATGAAGTCAAGACTGGATCACGGAACTCACCGCTGAGCCCTGGACCCTTCTCCACTTCCCCGATCTCACACCCCTCCCTTAACAATGACTATAACCACAATAAGAATCACTGCTGTCATGCGTAATGTTAAGAATGGTCACTGATGGCTACTCGGAATGGAGCGGCAATGAGCTGGATACTGCTCTGACCCCAGGACCGACGACTGATGGCTACAAAAACGCCGTGGACTACCCAGGCTATGATGAAAAAACCTCCCTATCTACCCTAAGCCCTAGCGTTCTCGCTCCCTGGGGAAGTTTAGGCCAAGGCGGCCTACGATGACGTCCCTGTAATGTGTCAACCTCTGCTACCTCACCGCCAAGCAATGTATTTTTGGATAGTGCCCCCCACCCTGCAACAGTCTACTGTATATTAGAGGTATTGTTAAGGGACATATATATATATATATGTATATATAGACAGACATAACTATATGCTTGAATATTATCCAACTGTCACAGAGTGGGGGCAATTACCAATAATCTATATATTCCATGTGATAATGATGGCTGCGTTCCATATTCTAAGGTTGAAGCCATGGGCCCCTGAGTATGGGCCCTTAACCCTGGGATCCTCATATAGCTGCTACATACCCTAGATGTACCCTGAAGGGTTCCTAGAATCCCCTGGCAACGCCTGAGGGCCCATTAGAGGCCCACACCTCTAACCTTAGATGTATGCTGTTGCTGTCCCAAATTTGGGTAGCCTGGGGACTCCCACGTTGTCGTTCACTGCAGATGCCTGAACTCTTGGGGGTATATGCGAGTTTCGAAAGGTAGGAGTTCGATTGATACCCCGAAATACTACAATTCTTTGCTATCGGGACTCCTGTCAGCGGACCTCAAATTTTGGAGACTCCAAAAAATCCTAACCCCAAATCCGAACTCCTCGACCCTAAGCCCTATATCCCCTTGTAAACCCCTCTAACACGCTCACTAAGTAGTGGAAACCCATATATCCGTTGGAGCATAAATTGGTGCACCAAGCGGCCCTCTAGACTCAGATCGCGCCGGAAGGCCCGGAGGCCCAAGTTCGATCCAGTCGATCGCCTGCGGTTTGAAGGGATACGGTGGATACTGAAAGTCCTGCATGACCCTCAGGAGCCTAAACCTCCAGAATTATAGTATCATGGTGTACAAAAGCCATGCCAGATTTTCAGATCAACAATAGTTGCTTGCAAAGGTATGGGCTTATGGGTGTTCAGGCTAGACAGCTTGCGCCAATGGAGGTTCAGGCGTCACAGTGGTCAGCTTAAATGTGGACAGGGCTGAGAGTTTTTAGGTGAGCCATAGTCTAAACTCCTAGCATATACCTGAATAACCACTTATAATCATTCCCATCCCCACTTAAGGAGTTTAGACCCTAAACCCTAAACCCCACGTAACCCCGCTTTACAGGAGTTTAGACTATTGCTCAGGTGAGGAGGGCTTGGAGCTGAGACATCCAGAGTTTGGGTGGGTTGGGCCTTCAAAGGTTGCGGGAATCATCTTTGGGTTTAGGGTTTAGGGGAAATTTTACCACAGAAGTCTATTGAGCAAAATACCTGCTGTAGGGGAAGTCTTGCGTCACTCAGGCTTCCCAAATCACTGTAGATCTTGAGGTATACGTTACGTGGACATCCCTCCAGTACTGGTGACCATAAGGGATGATGTGACTATATTAGCATCCTCGTAATGTTGCACCTCCTTTATTCAAAAGGCCCCATATAATGTGTTTTGGGACCCAATCCACAGGAAACCTCAGAACCGCAGGAGGCTCAGGGGGCCTTATTGAGGGACCGTAATTCCTATTTTTCTGAACGCCCTATTGTTAGGGGTGGGCCCGACATTAAAGAGCTTCCAGCATTAAATTCCTATTGTACCATTTTTACGGGGTGGGGAGTCCACATAAGGTAAAATCATGGGTTCCAGTAGTACCCCCTCTATACTACCCCCCCTAGGTTCCCCCCTTAATTAACCTTAATTAGGCCTAATTATCCCTAAGTAACCTTAATTAAGGGGGGAACCTAGGGGGGTAGTATAAAGGGGGGTACTAGTTGAACCCATGATAAAAAGCTTTGTGCAGGATCTCCTCCACACGGCCCCAACAAAACGCTCAGGTAAGGACCCCCCCTCCCCGCCTTTTCGGCCTCCTGCTTCCTGAGGAGGCTGCGCCGGCTCCCAGGAGGCAGGCCAGGGTGGGTGCTAGAAGCGAGGAGGGGCCTTGGGACGAATAGCAAAGTGTGATCAGATAGGGTTTAGGGTTCATGGCTTAGAGGTTACGAATAGTATTGTTCGTATTCCTGTTATGATTGGTAGTATTACGGTTAGTACAGTTACTAGTGTTCCTATTATTGTTATCACCACTACGATGATAAGTAGTGAGACGCAAGAAAAGGAACAAACATAATACGATAATGATAATGGAAACAGGATACGATACTACTAGAATGACAGTAGGGACAAGAGCAAAATACATCATAACATGAGCATGGGACACGGTCATCAAACTAATAGAATTGCAAAGCTTGGGATAGCCAACATGGTCACAATTCTGACAAGAACGGTCATGATAGTCCCAACCCTCCGAAATCCTAGGACCTCAAACCTTAAACCCGAAACCCTAACCCTGAATCTTAAAAATCTAGACCCTGAAGGCAGCGAAGGAGCCGTGCGGCTCCGCCTGGCTGTTGTACCCGGGCCAGGAACGGGTGGCCTCGGCCAGCTATGCATGATGGTTAGGGTTTAGGGTTCAGGGTTTAGGGTTTAGGGTTCAGGGTTTAGGGTTGAGGGTTTGGATTTAAGTTTCAGGGCTCAAGGTTTAACATTTAGGGTTAGGATTTAGCCTTTAGGTTGCATGCATCTGCATCCACCCTGAAGGCCTCCCAAAAATTAATTCTGGGCCGGTGCTTGCGGCTCATAATAGGCCAAACAAGACCTTAAACTGGAATCAGGGATCCCTAAACCCAATAAAACCCTGTAAACCCTGAAAAACTGTTTCCCGACATCCGCAGGCGCTGGGGTAAAGTGCAGTTTGGGCTCCTAATAGGAATGTACGGTTTACAAGGAGTTTAGAACTATAGCGTTTCTAGGGTTTGGGGGTTGAGAGTTTACTTTTTCGGGTTTCTGATAGGGTTTGCAGATTGAGGGCGAATGATGTGCTTAGGATTTGAGATTTGGGGGTCTCGGGTTAATCTATCTTTTACCAGGTGAGGTTCGACGTGTAAGCACAATTATTGCTGTAGGCCCTCGATGGTTTTTTGCAGGCTCCAAACTTGTGCCGATGTAGGGTCTGGGCATTGATGGGAAGGTTAGGCTGGGTTTAGGGTTTAGGGTTCAGAGGGTTTAGAGTTTAGGATTTAAGGGTTTTGGCATTTAAGCCCCCATCGCCCAACCATGAACCTTCCAGAGAAAATTCAATAATGGCACTGGGTTGAGAATGTTTGTTATTCTGGGTGGTGTTGGCTTCAATTTACCCGGATGTAAACTTAATTCCCACGCGACAATTCACTTGATTTTCGACTTGACGCTAGGCTATAATGGTGAGAATCGCAATATAGTCGATTTTCAACCCCTTATATCCCCATATATAGGTATTCATTCTACGGCCACGGTGACTTTCAGAAGCACCCGTTGGGCGGAGTTGAGGGTTTGGCATTAAGGGGTTGTGCTGCTGCAGCCTGACGTTAAAGTTTACGGTACATAGTGTTTCCTGCTTTATTTGGTAGTTGTTCAAAATACCTGTCCCAAAAATGGCCATAATGTAGGTTCCCTCTTTGGTTAGCATCCCCTTTTTAAGGAAGTGTATTCCCAACGGTCCCTCCTTTACAAGGACCATTAGAACAACCCCCATATCGCAAACCTATCCTTGTAATCTCTGGGCCTCTGCCCGGCTAGTTCTCTAATGGCTTGGTCGGGTGAATCTCGGTAGCAGCGCTCCGTTTCCTTTCACGAAAACGACTGGGGATTTACCCTAATCCCTAAACACTATTCTCTTGGGGTCGATTAAAAGGAGATGTGAATTTCAGCGCCCAATGCGAGATCGGTTGAGGTTTAGGGCTTAGGGTTTAAGTTTGGGNNCCCCCCCCCCCCCCCCCACCAAAAACAATTCCAAGGGTGAACAACCCAAGCCTTTGACTCAAAGCACGATACTCCAGACGGGGCTGCAGCTCAGGAACTTTAGCTGAGTTGTGATTTAAGAAGGAAGCCATATCATGGTGATTCTATATGTGCCAGTTTATTGGTACATCATTTGAGCTTCGTCAATGACATCCCAGCAAACCCTCAGACAGGCCCCAGCGGTTGGTCTCTGCGTACTGGCTTCTGGCAGGCCTTAGATCTAAGGTTTAGGGTCTAGGGTCCCCAA